CCGCTGGCGGCGCAGGGCTCCCTGCATCGGCAGATGTACGTGTCACAGCAGCAGCGGCCGCTGCTGACGATGACGCCCACGCAGCCCCAGCAGCCCCAGCAGCCCCAGCAGCCCCAGCAGCAGGCACCAGCGGCGGGCTGCAGTCCTCCAAACCACATTGGCCATGTCCCATACGAGGTGAGCTAAAGCACTGCGCGACGGTTACCTTCTCTCGTTGCCTCACTAGCTGTCGTACCGTACCCGTCGCATACCGTTGCAGCGATATTGACAGAGTGTATAGACTGTAACCATTTGACGGCTAATGCTGATTTCATGGCCCGTTGCTCTTGTCCCGCGCCCGTTCTTCTTTATCCCACAGCCACAGTACTCGAACGAGCCGTCTCTAAGTTCCATTCCGTCTCCGACCAAAGACGGCCTGGTCCGCCCCACCTCCGAGACCTCCTACCCTTCGTCTACCAGTGGTGAGGGCAGTGGGTGCTTGGAGAACGCTGCGGGGCCGGCGTCTGGGCCCGTACCAGCTTTCCCCGCCGTGCAGGAAGCAAACGGCAGCCTGGCCGCTGCTGCCGCCTCCGCTGGTGTTGGCGGGGGCGGGGGCAAGGGTGGGGCCCGGGGCGGGGGGGGGGGCGGGGCCCCGATCTGGCGGCGGCGAAACGCGTTTGTAGAGTGGGCGAACACGATGCATCACGAAATGGTGGTTGAAGAGCAGCCGCCTGGCGGAAGCAGCGCGAGTGGTGGCGCTGGCGGTGGCAGTGGCAACGGTAGCGGCAGTGGTGTCCCTGGCGGAGGTATGCCTGGACATGGCAACACGATGGCAGGCGGGGCAGGCGGCACAGAGCAGCACGCGTCATCATCATCGGGCTACAATGTTCCCTTGGCGCTTGCGGCGGACACGCTGCCACCGGAGGGTGTGCAGTTCCAGTATGCGCCGGTAGGAGGCCTTGGAGGGTGCCCTTGGTGGGGAGCACGGATTAGTTGCTGGTCGGTCTGTCAGTCTGTCGGTCTGTCGGTTGGCTGGTTGCTCGGGAGTCCATGACAGCTCGGTAGGATTGGAGGCAGTGGACGCGCTGCATCTTCCACCACCATGCATAGGTGTGTGGCGCCGTGTATGGTTTGCAAGGCCAGGTGACACTGGCACCCGCATGCTGCCTGGGCTCGCTGCGGGTTGGTCGGAGGCGTACCAGCGGGATGCGGCTGTGTGTTGAGTAACCACTGCTCGAATCCACTTCTATCCATCCACACACGCGTGCGAGGGAAAAGGATACCACCCCGCCGCCTTCACGCGTCTCAATGGCTACCTGCTCGCCCCGTGATTGCTTACCGCCACATACCCCATCCACTTACCCCAAACCACCACATGCATGGCGAACTGCTGACGAACTGCTGAGCAGGGCGTCTACATTACGTTGAAGCCACCGGCACAAAAAGGCGGCCCGGTTCGGCTGGTCAAGGTTCGCTTCAATCGCAAGATGTTCACGGAGCAGTCTCAAGGCCAGGCCTGGTGGAACATGCACAGGGCGACACTGGCGGAGATGTACGAGCTGACCTTCGACATGGGGAACAAGGTACGTGCAGGCGACCAGTGGCCGCGTGTGTGTGTGTCTGTCTGTCTGTCTGTCTGTCTGTCTGTCTGTCTATCTGTCTGTCTGACGACAGTGCTTCTGGCCGAGAGGTCGGGAGAGGCCAAGAGGCTGAAGTAGATGGCTGAAGGGAGGACTGGCCGGGACTTCGGGTTTGCGGATTCAGTACTACATACTCGGAATGCATTTTTTTATGCCTTTTCCTTCCTGCCTTGACTATTACTTGATGAAAATAGATGCGCATCACCATTTTTGATGAATATCCAGGCACCTGTAGCACCATCATCATCACCGCCGGGGTTGCCGCCGCTAGCTCCCGGTTCACACGGCACAGTTCCCCCGGCCGCCATGCACACCCGCGGCATGAGCACCGACACACAAGGGACGAGCGCCGGCAGCACCGCGGCGTCGGGGAGCAGTAGCATGTACTTCTCCGTCCCAGTCAGTAACAGCCCCCTTCACGGGGTTGCAGCCTCTGGCGCCGCTGGCGGGGGCGACCTTGCGACGGGTTCAGCGGGGGCCATGTGGCGTTCTGTCGCGTCAGCGGTAGCTGGCGGCGGCGGTGGCGGTGGTGGCGCCGGCGGCGGCGATTTCGATATGACTTGGACTGAGCTGAACTACGACAGCCAGGCCATGATGGTGTTGCCGCCGCCGCCACCTGTGGGGACTATGGGGGTGGCGGGGTCCCCTGCAATGCCGCAGCGACGCGACCACTCTCGGAACAGCAGCCGCACGGCCAGCGGCGGCTCAAGCCATGCAGGCGTATCGAGGCCGCCCTCGCAGCCGTGCCCAGAGTCACCCGTGTTTGCCTTGCAGCAATTTGGTTCGGGGGGAAGCGGCTCGGCAGGCGGTGTTGGTGTNGGTGTTGGTGGCGATGGCGGTGGCGGCGGTGGAGGGCCATTATACCCAGCGACTGCTACCGNCCTGGCGACGGCTGCTGCCGCCGCAGCGGCGCAGCCGTACTATCCCTCTCACCAGCGTGCGCAGTCTGGTGGCGGGTCGTCTGGCAGGTCGTGAGGGTCCCTGGTCGCGTTGCAACAGCGGCTATACACCGGTGCAATGAAAAGATTTCCGGTTTTCGGTCCTTACTGCATTCCGTGGCCAATATGTTATCTTACCTTGTTACGCTCATTGTTGTCTTCGCACAATAGGTCAAGACAGGTATTTTCAGGTGAGCCGGCACCTCCTTCAGCGCCGGACTCGCTGCCTAGGGGGAACTGTCACCACCCGACAGGATAGCAGGGTTTGGACGTCGGATCATGTGGCGGCGCGTTCCACGTAGCATCCTTGCTTTGTGTTTACTGCTTGTGTTATGTTACTGCTTCGCGTGTATGTGTGCGCAGGCATGGGCATGCATGGGGAGTAGGGGTGGTGAGAATACATCGGTAGGTAGGTCGAGCGCAGGGAGGTTTCCACATTGAGGCGTGTGGTAACGCAGCAGCGGGTGGCTTGGGGGTTGGTGTATGTGGGGGACAGTAGCAGGGTTCACGGCATGAATACCTGGCTGCCGCCAGCCGAATGGCGCATGAGCGTCATGATGATATGTGTAGCAGCGTGGGGTTATTCACGTGCTGCGGTCTGCAGTGCTGGATTTGTAACTCTGGGCTTTAACGGCCCTGCTTTAAACCTCAATACGTTCTGTGTGTTGTGTGCGTGTTTTTATGCCAGAAAAGAATGAGCCATAGCAGGAGGACGAAGAAGGCGAGAAGATGAAAGATTTCCAACTGTGGGGTTGTTGGTGTGAAACGAGAAGGGAGAGATTTCACGGCCCGGCCGTTGACGTCCAGTATGTTATATCGATTTTACACACTGGCGCAGGCGCCTAGCGCCTCCGGGGCCTGACTCCCCGGCTCGTATCACCAGAAGGCAGAAGGCCGCTGCTCAATCCTTCCGAGAGCCCCGGACAGCTTCAGCAGCCTGTCCGGTGACCAATGACCAATTGAGCAGTACCCCAGTGGTTGTATCCCCTCTGCATTCCTTTCTGCCGCCGTCCTTTGGACTTGTTTCAGAATTTGTTGCACAAGCGT